CCCCCCCCCGGAGCGTTTTCCCCCCCCCCCCCCCCGGAATGCAGGAATCCCACAGAGAAAGGCCTGCCAGCCAGGGGAGAGAAGGTGTGAGCCCCTTCTCTGCCCGCCCCCACCCCCGCCCAGGGCTGCCCCGCACTGCATAGGGACGAGGTGCAGACTCGGGTGCTGATCCTAACAACTCAGTCCTCAGCTCTCCATGGAAGGTCTGCACTGCCTCTCCCAGCCCAGATCCTACGAGGGGAGCAGCAGCGCTGCAGAGCCAGCAGCCCGACCCCATCGCGGCCGGTCTCAGCTGTGCGGGTCCAGTGCTCCAAGCCCAGGCCCGGCGGGGGCCAAGCCCGGAGACCCACAGGGCTGCCGACGCCAGGGAGCCGCTCGCCCGGCTAACCCCGCTCCTGGAGCCCAACAGCTGCAGAGCACCGTTCTGAGAAGGGAAACCTGCCTAAGGCCACATGGCCCATGGCCTGCAAGTCCCCACACCTCTGAGAACGTGCTCAATCCCCACCAGGCCTGCATGGGCTGCTGCAGTGAGGGCTGACTGCAGAGCAGAGACAAGCTTGCACAGAGGGCCGGATGGCAGAGCAGGACCCATGCTGAGCTAGGCTCCGCTGCGGCTCACCAAACCAACACCAAAAAGTAGGCGAGGCAGACACGTTCCTGGGCACACTGCCCACCAGGACCAGCCAGCGAGATACAGGGGCCCGTCACCAGTAACAGCCAGGGAGGGTGGCCAGGAGTGCCAGTCTCCTACAAAGGAGCGCCCACGACAAATATTTTATCGCTGAAATCTACAAAACCTTTAAAGACGTAATGCCGTTTCCCTCAAACTATTCTAAGACGTCCATCGTACTGGGGAGTGATGTTGGAAACAAATTCCATATAGATAGGAGGAACGGTGTCTAGTGTTACAAAACGGAGCTCACAGTCGGGCTGCCCTCAGAGGAGACCTCTCTGCCACACCGGCCAGGGACTGAGCTCCGCAGCAGGTGCACCTGCACAGGGGCGGGCAGGCTACAGCAGAGCGGTGGGGGGCTGTGTGTGTGTGAGATGGGTGTGCGCTAGGAGTTGGTGCGGGAAGGGAAAGATGTTCAGAGCTGTGAGAGCGTGTGTGTGACACCGTGCAGGGCACCGGTTCGCTCTGTGAGCTGGGGTGGGGGGAGAGAGGTAGCAGTGGGAGGCCATGGAGGGGCACAGCCCAGGTGGGCAGCTAGTACATGGCAGAGACGTGTGGTGGGGTGGCAGGCTGGCAGCGGTGTGGAGTGGGGCGTGCTTTGGGGTGGGTTCACTGGTGCACAGAGGGGTGGACACGGGGGTGGGTGGAAGTGGGTGGCAGGCACATCTGAAAGCAGTTGGGGCAGGCTGTGCGTGTGTGTGTGGCCAGTGGCTGTGAGCTGGGGTGTGTGGGTGGTGTGTCAGGAACAGGGGTCCGGGCTGGTGTGAGGGCAGGGTCTAGTGGCTGGTGTGAGCAGAGGGTGGGCACAGGTCCGAATGGGAGGTCTGAGTGTGGGGGTGACCGAGCAGAAGATGAGGGACTATATGCAGCAGCGTGGCAGGGTTTGGGGGTGTGTTTCTGGTGCAGGTGGTTGGTGTGGGGCTAGGTCAGTTACATGGATGTGTAGGTGTGGGTGGGGTGGGTTCCTGTTACAGGGTGGTTGCTGGAGGGGGGCACGTGCCAGTTGGACATACGTGGAAGTATGTGAACGTGGGGTCGGGGGTAGGCTGAGTGGGTGCTGCCTGTAGGGAAGTGCGCATGCTGTGAGGGTGTGAGAGGGCGTAGAGGGGTGTGCACCGGGCATGGGGTGGTGGGGTGGAGGGGTGGAGTGGGAGTGTATCTGTGGTGAGGAGTATCCCTGGATGGCGGGAAGGTGGTGGTCCCTGGTCCCTTGTGCTCAGTGGTGGCTGCTGGGCTCACACACCGTGTCCCCTCGACCCCAGTGCAGCAGCTATGCAGCTGGGCCTTCAGGAGCGGACTAGGCCATGAGCACTCCTGACTCTGAGCACAAAGGACCGATGGAGACGAGGGCTGGCTCTTCCCTTCTGCCTCCCCACGTGAGGAGGCAGTGCTCGAGGCGCATCTTGGAGACGAAGGCCTGCTCTCACCAAACACCCTGTCTGCTAGGGCCTCAGTCCCAGACTCCCAGCCTCAGTAGCTGTCTGTTCTTCATCAACTACCCAAGTCTGGAGACCAGCAGTTAGCATAATGGCTATGTCGCTGGACTCCCACGTAAGTCGACCGCGGTTCGAGTCCCAGACCCGGTGGCTTAAATTCACGCCAGGTACGTGTGCGTGCGTGCCCAAGATCCCGAGAGGAGAATGGAGGAGAAGGGATTACAGCATGGCCACCCCCCCTGGGGGGGGTGATTTCCTGCTTTCTGTCTCTCTGTCTGTCTCTGTCTGTCTGGCGAACGCACGCGCCCTATAGCAAAAACCTCTCAAAAAAAACACAAAAACAAACAAACAAACAAAAAAAAAAACTACCCAAGTCTGGGCACTTCTCAGAGCAGTGACGGGTGACGGGCTGCAGTGGTGCAGGGTGGGCACTCTGTACTGGGCTGGCGAGGGCGTGGGAGGCATGCGAGTCTGCGTGTGTGGGGGCAGGTGGGTCTGTACACGTGAGGAGTTGGAATGGAGGCCAGGTCAGGGCGTGTGCACGCACTTGTGTTTCTACCTGGCTGGGCAGTGTGGGGCTGGGTGGGAGCGTGTGTGGGGTGCTGATGTGAACAGGTGGGCGTGGGGGAGGGTGTGGATAGGGCTAGAGCGTGCAGGGCATGCACCCTGGGGCTCAGGTCCACACTCCCCGATGCTGGGCAATCATGGCGCTCTGCAGCAGGGCTGAGGCCTCTCCGCCTCTGGTCGCACCCAGGCCCTGGCCACCAACTCTGCCTCCCGGGCACGTCTCCCAGACCAGGGAGGCTCTCCTGTCTCTCCTGCATAGCTTCCTCGGGGGATGGACAGAGGCCAGCAGACCCCAGCCCAGCAGCAGATGGGACCCCACCCTGGCCTGCTCTCTGGCCTACGCCCCGCCCCGTCCTTCAGGGCACCGCTCACAGGAGGCTGGACGCACCACGTAACCCACCAGGCGGGCTGCACGGCCCTGCTGTGCCACCCGCGCAGCCTCCACCCACCTCTCTTGCTCAGGTACAGCATCTTGGCATCCCACTGGCTCTCCTTGGCGAGGACAGCACGCCGTAGCTGGAAGCCCAGGTACTCCAGGAGCCTCTTGCGGGCCAGGAACGTCTCCCGCTCTGCCGGCATCAGCGCGTGGAAGGGACAGTGCGCGATCTTCCGGTCCTGCAGCACAGCGTGTGGTCATGCCAGGACCACGGCAGCCTGCCTCCACCCACCGCATCCGTGCATAGCAGGATGTGCGGTCCCACACAGGCTGCCCCTGCACCAGCCCCCTCTGGGGGGCGTCGAGGACATCCGCCCAGCTGTACCTGAGAGGTTGAGCCCGGCCCCAGCAGGTCACCCTCCAGTCCCCAAGGACGCTCAAAGCCACACCTGGAAGAATTTGAAGTATCCATAGTCGACGGCCGTGCCCACCGCCACCTTGTCCCCCTGGGTGAGTGTCACAGGCTCTAGGATGTCAGCTCCATGATGAAGGAGCCGGTCGATCTGTGGAGAACAGAGCCGCCACGTCAGACAGGCAAGGATAGGGCCAACAGGGGTGTGGATCCCATAGCCATGTGGTTCGAGTCCCAGACCAGACGGCTGGAAAAATGGGAGCATGGCTTTTGGCGTGACCGTCCACCCAGGGGAAGGGCTTTCACTTCCCGTCTCTCCAGCGGGCACGTGAGTGCACAAGTCCTGTAGTAAAAATGACTTGGGGGGGGCAGCCAGGAGGCACAGAAGTGGCACTTAGAGGAGGGGTCAGTCCTACCTGCCCCACTCCCCTTCATTTACTCCTGGGTTTCTCTCGACCAGCCAAACGAACCCAGGAGGTGGGGAAGAATGGCAACGGCCCCGCGACATCCCCGAGGGGGCCGAAACCCCTGCCTATGGTCACCAGGCCAGGTGCATCCTAGGCTCCAGAAGGGCTCATGCCCCACTGACTCAGGTCACATGAAAGAGTACCAGAAAGGCAGCGGCTAAGCAGGCGCGCCAGACCCAGGGAGAGCTGAGCCAAGCTGCCGGCACTGGGCCTGGCGCGATCTTGGCTGACACCAGAGGCCCCACGAGAAGAGGAAGAGCAGATGAACCGGATGTCGTGAGAAGTGAGAGGAAAGGGAAAGCCTCGTGTAGAGAATACGCAACTCAGTTGCATGAAAGGCACGATGAGCAGAGTAAGCCACAGAGCAGACGACTTTGTGCAAGCCGCTACCTGGTGGGTTAGCAGCCAGAACACACAGAAAACGCCGGAACTCAGCAACAGAGACCGACCTGTACTCAAAACAGACAGGGACCAGCATAAGGCGTAATGGGTACGTTGCTGGACTCCCTCACATTCGACCTCAGTTCTGGTCCTAGACCAGGTAGCTTCAAACTCAGGCTGGAACCGTGTGCACGAGCGCCCAAAATCCCAAGAGGAGGATGGAGAAGGGATTGCAGGTGGCATCCGCCTGGAGGGTGATTTCTCACTTAAAGTCTCTCTCCAGCAGATGCATACCCTATAGCAAAAATCTCTCTTAAAAAAAAAATTAAAAGACTTGGGGCCAGCAGGTATCATGGTAGTTAAGGGTGTTGGACTCCCACATGGCTGACCGCGGTTCACGCCCTGGACCTGGCTTGCTTCCTCACTTTCTCTCTCTCTCCCTCCCTCTCTCACCCCCTCTCCCCCTCTGTCCCTCTCTGGGCAAATTAAAATCAATCAATCAATAAAAAAAGTTAAATAATTCTTAAAAAAAAAAAAACAAAAGGACAGAGGACTGGACAGACGCTTCGCCAAGGGAGACAGAGACAGCCACTGAGCAGGTGAGAGGAGGCTCAGCCTCCCCAGTCACTAGGGAGATGCACGTTGAACCGGCGAGGCCCCGGGAAGGCCACTCCGAGGAGAGGAAATGGGGGGGCCCACGCACTGCCGGTGGGCGGTGGGCGCTCAGATCAGTGCAGGCGCGGTGGAAAACAGGGTGGCGGCTCCTCAAGAATCGACGGCCAAAGGAGATGGAGAGGAGGGTGTGAGGCGCTGGCACTCCCGCAGACGGCAGCTCCCGGGGAGCCACTCACACGCCCACAGGCAGCTGCCCGGACAAGCGCGGCACAGTGCCCAGCCGTACCGAGGGGCTGTCACGTGCCACGTGGATGGACTCTGAAGACATTTCCGCTCAGTGAAATAAGGCAGTCACAAAAGACAAATACCGTGTGATTCCACTTACACGGGGAGGGGGGCCTTCAAAGGTTACAAAAAGTCCGTATTAAAAGGTTGGACTGGGACCAGCAGCTGGCGTAATGGCTGTGTCGCTGGACTCACATGTAGTCGACTGCGGTTCGAGTCCCGTACCCAGTGGCTTAAACTCATGCCAGGTGCATGTGCGTGCGTGTCCAAGATCCCGAGAGGAGAATGGAGAAGGGACTGTGGCATGGCCACCCTCCGGGGGATGATTTCTTACTTTCTGTCTCCCTGTTCCTCTGGCAAGCTCACATGTCCTATAGCAAAAATATCTCTTAAAGAAAGAGACTGCGAATACTCTCGCTGCTCTGACTCTGTAATAATGAGGACAGGCTAAACATCCGCTATATTACGACCACGCATGTGTCCCCAGACGTAGTTCTTT